TATTTTTCTTCCCAAAAATGAATTTTTTTATTTTTATTTTTAATCTCGCGAACCTCCAAAAACGCGACACCTGTCCCATTCGCTCCGATTTGAAGGTTTCGTTAAACGAAACAATCCGACTAATTTTCAGCCTAAATTCATTTTTTTATTAGTATTTTGGGCAAAGAAACCCATCAAAACTCATGAATAAACCTGCTCTTAGTTTCATTAAATCGAACCCTGGACCTACATCTTTAATGCATGTCTCCTACATTCTTAATCGATGGTTTTATTGGTGCATATATATGCAAATTAGAACAAAATATTTTGTTTTCCATCTACTAATGAAAACATGATAGATACTCGTTCATACAATAGATTATAGTTAAAATGGTTTGAAGTAGATGAATTCTTTTAATAGGCCAAAGTGGATTTTTCAGTTTTGTAAAGTTCTAATCTAAGGAAAACTTGTAGTTGTGGAAAACATAGAGGAAATGTTCTCATTTTCAGTTGAACCATTGTAAAATCTAATAAGCAAACATACTTGGTCTCATTAACTGGAATAAGAAATAATTAAGACCAGCAGATTAAAAAATAGAGCACAAATTTGAGGATACATACTTATCAAATGTGTACTTGGTCACAACAATTATATTTCTTAGACTAATGTGGTCTGGTCTCCTTCTCTAGTCCACTTTGACCACTTCAAGGATGATGACTCATACACATTAGTTTTTTAATGCTCAAAGGAATTTCTCACAACCATCTTAATTATTCAGTTTAACTTGAAATAATTGTCTACTTTCAGTTTAATTCCATTTACGAATTTTGGATTTGAGGCTGAAAAGATTGCAGGTGCTGGATTTAAATGTCTTTTTGTTTTGTTTTGTTCAAAGCTGGATCTAATTATTTACAATTACAACTGGATTTAATTGTTTTTTTTTAAGCTGGATTTATTTGTTGACAACAAAATTAATGTTTAAGTTGTTTTATTCCATTTCGTTTCTGGATTTGAAATATTTTTTCCATAAAAAAAATAGAGGTTTTGTTTTAACCATATCTACTACATTTGACTTTATTTCATTTTTCCAGCAAATTGAATGGCATGATTATATATTTTTATCATTTTCATTATTGTACAAGTTTTAAAAAAAAATTATTTGAATATTACTTATTTTTTGCAACTAATGTTCTATATAATTTGTTTTTCCTATCAATAATTGAAAAATTATTCACCAAAAAAAAAAGAG